CACTTAATTGAAACACGTGAAGAACACGTGATCTATACTTGAAAGTTAATAAATCAACGGAAACGGTAACAATATTTCAACAAATAATTCAGTTTTGCTATATTGTTTATATTAATGAATACTTAAAAATCATCTAAAAATATTTGTTTTGATTTGTAAAATTCAAATAATTTTAGAAAACAATTTCAGCTATTAATAAAATAAGTCAAAATAATTTCAAATTTAATTTCAACAAGTTAATTTTAGCAAATTATTTAATTAAGTGATATCATTTCAGCAATCATTCTTAAATAAAACCAAAGATAAATTACAAGATATCTGATTTTTTATGTTAAATTACATTTATTTAAATATATTTTAAAATAATATAAATCTACAAAATTTGTAATAATATAAAGAACTAATAAAATAATAAAATTATAATATATATAACATCAAGATATAATATAAATTAATCTAAGTATTATAATTAAAATTAGCAAAATATTAATATTATATTAAATAAATTAGATAAATTAATAATTAAAAATAAATTAATGATCAAAATTAAATAGATTAATAATTATAAATCAAGAACTAATAAAATTATAATAACTAATAATTAATAAAAATAGTATAATAAATAAATAAAATAATTAGTAATTCATAATGATATTTCATGTTAGATAATTAAGAAAAATAATATATGATAACAATATATATATATTCTTAAAAAAATTTTCTGATATTTATAATAGTTAATTATAAAATTTGTTATAAATAATATTAAATAGTAATTTTATAATATATAAAATATATATATATAAAAAATTTGAATTTAAATCAAAAAAATTCTTTAAATATTATTTATAATAAAGTTATTTTTTGTAAACTTATAAACTATTTCAATAATTAACTGAAACTAAATTTTATTCTTGATTAATGATATATAACCAAAAATATATATAGTACTCTAATTATTACTTTTTCTAATTATAAGTTATTTGAATTAATATTCATATTTAATATAAAAATTTCTAAAAAAACTTCAAGATATTATTAATTATTAAATAATATTTCATGTTCTTGAGCTTATCTGAATAGCAATAATTATTATTTATATATAAATAATTATTATATAATATTAATAAACATTAAAAATAATATTCTAAAAGTTTTGAATTTTATTTTATTGGTGAATAAACTGGTTTAAGTTTTACAAGATTGATATTTGAATAGGTAATTTTGAAGTTCAATATAAATATTTGAAAGCTTTTATATTATTATTCTCTATAATTGAAAAAAACAAATATATAGAATTAGTATTATATTTTTTAATAATAGTAAAAACAAATTCATTACTAAAAACAAAATTTCAAATAATTGGATCAATAAATTTTATTATTTTTTTGTATTGTTAAAGTACTTAAGGATTTCAGAGTAAAATTTATTAAATAAAATATAACTGAACATTCAACTAATCTAAATAACTTAAAGTTAATAATTAAAATAATCCAAAATAAAAGAAATCAATTAATATTATTATATATCAAATATATAATTGATAATTATATATGTAAAATTATGTATACAAAAATTAATTATAAAGAATATTATAAAGACTTGTGAATATACTTTCTGAAATTATTGTTTATAATAAATCTGAAAGATATTTACTGTTTAAAATTTCTAATTAGCTAATATTTAATAAATACAAGTATATTTTTACCTATTATAGCAAAGAAATAAATAAAATCAAAAATCTTATTAAACAAGATATTTTGAAACTGGAGAAATACATTTCAAAAAATAAACAAAAAAGAATTTAACATTTTTGCTTTTTAATAAAAAGATTATCCAAAGTAAAAAATAAAAACAAGGAACTGATATGAAAGAAATGGAATATGTTATAAATAATTAAGCAGCATCTAGTATCAGTTATGATAAAATACAGCATATTACAATTAATTAATCAAAACGTACACCTGTTTTACTTCTTGTTCTGAACATATATACTTTAATAGTTTGTTCAAAAAATTGTTAATCTTTCTGTTCTATTTATATTTCAATAATGCCAGTTCCAGCAGTCTAGTAAAAATTCCAAAAGAATGAAAAAGAAGAATTTGCAACTTTCTGCTCAATTTTGTAAAGCAAAACCTAACAATATATATATTTTTTTAAAATTCATGTTTCTTTCAATCTTTTTAGTGACTTACAGCATGAAACAAAAAATAATCTTGAGGAAGAAGTCAAAAATGCTTGCTAACTTTGAAGATCTATTGCTCTACAAGTATTGCTTAAAGCAAGACGCATGAACACCGTTTTGTCTTTCAAATTGTTTACAATAGGAAATTGAGATACTTAACAAAAATCCGCAGAATTATATAGCAGATCATTTCCATGTCTGACTGAAAATTAATTCAATTTCTATTTATATATAAATAGCCAAAGATAATTCTCGCTGTCCATGATAATATAAGAACATTTTTCATTTATCTGTCCGATTTTATCGTCAAGATTGACAGAATAATATGACGGATAAATATATTATTAATTAAATTACGTTCTTTTATTATGTTGCGACTCTATTTCGAACTAGAAATGATTAGAACAAAAAAAATAAGACATCTTATCTTTTGGCTATATAAAAGCAACTATTTATTCACCCTATAATTGAAGTGAATCGATTAATTGCAGCATCTGATTTGAAGTCGCCGGACCTAAATTATATGATATGGATTGCGAGTTTTGCTGGCGCGCAGGAAGAAATTGTCCGAGCTGAGAATTGTCCGGCTAAAAATTGAAAGTTAAGGATGAAAGATTCTTTGCACAGAAACAATACTCATTAACAAATTGTGTCATTATCATACCATAGTCATCTTTAGCTGATCAGTTGTACTCCATTTATGCTTCACCATTGATAACAGATCTTTTAATTGTGAGCATCGCCTTCGAATACAAAAATAATTGATTAATATTATATTTTTCGAAAGCTAAAGTAAACATGCCGAATTGATTACTTTTTTACTTCCTGTGTTGCTCGCTTTCTTTCATTCAATTGATTCTCCATGATCAACTTTAATGTCTCACGTGCCTACACCATTATCAAACCGAGTCTAGTGTTAATAGCCGATTAGTTAATACTTTGCAGCAACAAGATTAAAACATCATCTACTTGATGTGGTCGGTACTCATTCAACAGCTGCTTTATATTCATAAATGTGTCTTGTAAATCTTTACTGATCGTGGTTGGTTTCTAAATATAAATAGAAAACGGAATGAATCAAATAATCAAAACAGAAAAATTATTTTTTTATAAAAATTTATACGAACACTTTCATCAAAAGGTTCTGCGCTCAATGACCCAAGTAACGCAATGAACTTTCTACATAGTCTTTTGTTAAGTTTTTTGAGTTCAGTTTGCCGATCTATATCAAAATTAACGCGTTTAATTCTAATAAGTGGTCTTTGTAGTACATTCCCATAAAGAAGCATATTACCAACCAAAGTCTCCTTCTGGATATAGTCGTGGGGTATTTTCATCTAAGGTCGCGTTCACCGAAACAACCTTTGAATAGATGACTCAATTCTATTATCATTACTATAATGATATGTCTATTTATAATATTGTCACTTTTGAGTCAAAGAATTGGCTTTACCTGCCAAGTTAAACCAAAGACATTATAAGAACCTTCAACAATAGGTCTAGGCGGTTCTAATTCAGTAATGTCAAAATCTTGCGGCAGTTCGTCTTTGAATTCATTTAAAGCTTCTTTTTTGCTTCCTTTATAGCTCTTTATCTTTTCGAGAAGTTTTAGATTAGTGTCAGTGTAACGGGTGTAGAAAGTTGGTGGATCGGGAATGGAAGAAGTCATTTTCTAAAATCGTGATTTCGTAATATCATATCCAAGATTTTTCTAAAATCGTGATTTCAATATCCATTTTCTAAAATCGAGAAATAATGCTATAATGAACAACGTTATGCAAGTAGAAATTGCTACCAGACACATTGATTATTACACTTGAACAAGTTCCAACACATTGCACTTAACAATTTTTCACGGGAATGTCTACCTCCACAAGAGAATCAAAGAGGGGAAAAACTAATGTGACGAAACCGCCACCAGATCCTAAAAAGCAGTTAAAGAAACATATTGTGAACTTGACAAAAAACGGTGATAGTGTCTTGAACGAAGAAAACCTCAAAGTTCGTGTTATCGTTTTCAGAAATTAAATATTTTTCTGATTTAATTTAAATAAGAATTGATTTGAATCTCTTTGTAATAGGAAGTGAAAAGGTACTGCAGAGAATCGGGCGAATTAATTGATTTTACGTATGAGATTATACTCGGCCAATTAAAGAGTAAACGTGCGCAGGTAAATAAATACTTTTGAGAATAGCGTTTGTACAAAGAAAACATTAATATTATGTTACGAAAAAATAAAATAGGTCCGATACTCAGCCCTACAACTTATTGACGTCCTTTTCAACCGCTCCAAACGCTTCAGAGATCTTGTAACAAACAATTTGACAGAAATTCTTCGACTTACTATTGGATTACACCAAACATCATTACCTCCGCCAGCTAATATTGCTATAAAGTTAAAAAGACTTGGAGTCGTGCTGTTGAAGCAGTGGAATGAAAAATTTGGCATCTTTTATAAACAGGTATCTGTAGCGTGATTGATTTGGCAAAATACCAGAAAAATAATGTGAATAAATACGCTTATTCTTTTTTGATTTATTATTATATCAACAGCTCACTCTTACCTATAGAATAATAAAGGATAATCCGATAATGATTGTCACTGAAGCCGACGCTTCTAATGTAATTACGCACGATGAATATGTTCGGAAGCAACGCGAGAATCAGGTACTTTTCTCATTTATTATACAACAAAAATAGAGAATCTCCAATATTTTTAAACTTGTTTCTTATACGATGTAGGCGCGTATAATCCAAAACGATGAGGCTCGTTTGCAGCAAATTGAGAAGAAAATGCAAGAATCGATTAATGATCTCATCGTTCAGAATCTAGATATAATGGTATAGTTTTTTATATAAAAAGCTTCTCTATTCGTAATTTTACCGCGGAAAATTTAATGATGTTTAACAAAAGAACTTATTTTCTCTCGTTCTAAGGAAATTTGTTTTGAGATGTTAGTCCCGAAACCAGTTGAGGATATGGTTTCGTCGACCACTACTACATCTGCTATTACTGATGTTACTAGAATTAAATCTGCTACAACTGAAACTATTGGACCTAATATTATTGAATCAAGATCCGCTGAAATTATACAAGAAAATAAAGGTCCAAAAACATTAAAAGAGGTAATATATTGAATATATATATTTATATCATAAACCAAATTTGTTAAAATATATATTATATATAGATGGCAGCAGCACACGGATTAGGCTCGAGTAAATACGAACTGACTATCACAATCTCCACCAAAAATCCAACAGGCGTAAAAGAAACTTCGGAGAACCACGTCATATACCAAAATATCCGTGAATATTCTAAAGTGTTGCTGAAACATTTGGATATTGTGAATGGGTGGTTGAACGATTTGGAGAAGTTGAATGTGAACGTATATATTTATGTCATTGTTATCACATCTATAATATGTACTGCACCCTATCTAGTGAAATTTTAATTAATTCATTAATTCATTTAATATTTTTTCTTTATAGAGCAAACGCCTTACTGAACAAGCGAACAATCTTAAAAGGAGGTTGGAAACCGCTAAAACTCGGTGTGAAGAACTTGGCATTAAAGTGACAGTTGGTATGATATGTTATTAATTAATTTTTTGTTTATTTTTTTTATCTAAATTCCTGATTATTGATATTTCTATAGAAAAAAGAAAGAATAGGGAAGATGATGATTCGGATTTTGAGGAGGTGAAAATACCAAAAGTTAAACATACTGATGCATCTACTATTACCACAACACCCACCGAGGCATCCACATCCCCATCTTTCTTACGATCCGGTCTATAGTTGCTGCCCAAATACCCTTAATTATGACAAGTTGGGTTTGGGAGGCATCAGCAATCCTCCATTGCCATAATGTCTGAGATTCAAATAGGAGTCTCCCAAATCCCAAACCTCGTTCACTATGAAATGAAAATAATTTGGTAATTATATGATTAATATTATAAAATTATAATTAAGTTTAAAATATAATATTTAAATAAATTCTAAATTAATTTGGATCATATGGCAAATGCGAAATATTTGGGATTTGGGCAAAATTAAATTTGAATTTGGGTGGCAACTATAATTCGGCCAATCTGAAATCACACCTTGTCGTGCCCGTCTATATGTGAAATACACCGAATCGTCTTCACCTTTCGATAAAGACTGGCTAACCCAACTTTACAGACATATATGCGTCCTGCTGAGATTAATGAATCTGTTCTCGACGGAAGGATAGGACGTTGTCCTTGATTTTGGTTCATGTAAAGAAAAATGCATCTCATTCCGAGCAGCATTCGTGTCTCGGTTCCAAACAATCTGTCAGAAAAGATAACTGAATGAAATAAAACTTCAACAAAAATTCAACATCTGTTCTTGCATACTTTGAACGCCCAAATTCGAGATACGCCAAACTTCTCGTCACGCAGAGAACACCTGAACTTGTGCGAAACTCGTCGATTTTCCGTACTCCGCACCCACACCGCCGCAGCTCGGTACAATCCTTTAACCGGACCGGGAGGATGTCCCCGTGAACAGGAGGAAAATCTCCCGTCCCCTAAAGTAAAGACAGCTCTTGGGTCATCCTTAGTGATTCACTTAGAGATGACGTTATACGCCTTTTGATGGTCGATATAGGTCTTGTCACCAGTGCCTTTGGCCATGAAACTCCAGAAACGTAGCCATGTGTTGCAGAATAGAGAAGATAGTTCTGAAGGTCTACAGTTATGAGAACTCTTATCCATATCTGATATACGTATAATGTGATGTTACTGGCACAAAGTATAATAAAACTGAATTATATAGTTTTTTTATTAATTGAAGAAGTTTATTGTGAGCGGAACATATAAGACATTATGCTAAATTTAAAGAGTTCAAAATACAAATACTACAGTTGAAACAATTGAAATGTAAATTGTTATGAAAAAGAACTATTTATACCAGATTATCTGTAAGTTACGAACAATATCACCGCGGACATACGATGAACGATTATGATGTTTTTTCTGAATACCATGAACCAGTTGCTAATTTTGGCATATCCCACTCGCGTACAACCTGAGCAGTCGTTTTTTTATGATGGCCCTTATAACCAGATTCCGTACCATCTTTTTTATGACGTTTACGACGCGAATTTTTTGATTTGACATATCTCTCATCAGATTCGACGGAAGTTGTCGAATAATCACTATCATCGTTTGAATCATATGAATCTGAAGATTCTCGTGTTTTGTGTTTTCGTTTAGATTTATCACTGCTATTTTCTGATTTATGAGATTTCTTTTGATTATGCTTCGATGTTTTTTCTTTTTTGTGATGACGATGCTTTTTCTTTTGTTTACTTTTTTTCTTTGATTTTTTGGGTTTGTCATCTTCGTCATCTTTATGATCAATATCATCATTTTGCAAATATTTCTCAAATTGTTCATAATCTATAAACCATCCATTGTCCCCAAGAAAAGGTTCTACATCATGCATTGGATCATAATCTTTACGAAAATATTTATCCATTTTTGATCCGTTGCTTGTTTCTCCGCGGCCTTTGAAAACTACCTTAATTGAAGTGTCTTTGTAAATTGATGCTGTCTCTGCCATTTCAACTAATTGATGTTTACCGTTGCTCTCATTGCCACTATTCTCAGCAGAATGATATTTATGAGATTGTGATGAAGATGATGGTAAGGATGATACAGTTAAACTATTGTTGTTGTTAAAAGTAGTATATGATAATGAAGAAGATTTTGTTTTATATTCTTTTCTTTTTTCTTGGAGAGATTCGATGGAACTCGAACGTGAAAAATTTTCAACTGAGTGATTTCGTTTTCTTGATCGTTTTTGACGAAGGGTGTGATGTTCCTGCTCACTAAAACATAGAATTAAATTAGATTATAATTTTCAATATGCATTATATTATCTCTATAATCATTTTACCTTGAAGATTTGTCACTATGACGACGATGATGATATTTATCTTTATTAATATAATATTCATCTTCTTGGTAGCCACGCAATGAATCTTGTGCACTACTTTGATTATGACGCGACTTTTTTCTTTTAGGTTCATCAAAAGATCCACCACCACGTTCACTGCTGCTACTATATTGATCACTTTCGTCTAAATCCTGAATGTTTTTGCCATGGCGAAGGCGTTCTGGCCTTCTACTTTGGCGATATCCTCTTAATGATGATGATGAATCATTTGATTCACTTTCCCTTAAACGACTCCTATTTACCAACGGGATATGCCTTTTTGCAGCTTCTTCTTCCTCTTTTCTAATGAGTGCCTGATTGTGATCATCGACACTTTTCACAATGTTGAACAAAAAGCGTTTATTCGGTTTTGGTAAATTACAAGGAGGGCTATATAAATATAAAAAACATTTAATCATATAAGTTAGTAAATTAATTATATGTTAAAAATAAAAATTCATTGAGCGTGAAGATAACTGAACTAAAGACTTACACCCCAGTATTTGGCAAATAAGCGCGGATACCTTCTTTATTAAACAACTTATTTTTAGCAGCCGCTTCTTTCAAAATAAGATCAGCGACATACTTGTCCAAGTCTTCGTCTGGTAATGAAGAGGGCACCCCGCCGAGTGATGCACGAACTAGTTGGTTGACGACAACGTCAAGTGCAGATTTCGGTTTTGAAGGCTGCGGGTTTTTAGATGGTGAGAACGACATGATACAAGGTTTTGCGTATGTACGATCAGACAATAATAGGGCTGTTCAGCTACCAGTCACTCCTTTCCTCCCAAGTTCTGATTGGACGCAAATGATTGGTCGGGTCTCCTAGATTAACCGATAAAGATGAGCATAGCGGGCTTAAATCTGATTGGTTGCTCTTCAAAATGTGTCACCGCATATTTTCCTATTATATTCTATAAACTGTTGAATTAGGAAGTTAGATATAGAGGAGTTTTAGAATTTTGACAAAATAAAGTATACGTATATTAATTTACTATTTTATTTTATAGATGTTGCCTGCGTCCTGTTGGTGAGAAAAAGGCAGAATACTGTAAAGATGAGTTTACAATTATGAAATTCTGTAGCATCTAATAAAGTGACTATACCAGATATTAACAAACAGTTAAATTTAGTTGGCAAAGCATTACCGTTATGCAGAAAACACTATAACAAACTACATGTAATTGTTAATGCTAAAAAAATCATACTTATCGTTATCGCGTTATTATAATCTTTTATCATTAAGAAAGTATGTTATTTTATCAACCAATAGAATTATAGCTATATAGTTACAAATGAAAAAATACAGATCACAAAGTCTATTATTAATTGGACAATTCATGGATATCATTATGCTAAGACACATTTGGTCGTGTTAAACATTAAAGTTTTAATTTCTTTTATTATATTAATATTTGTTTTTTATTTTAGTAGCTTTTTGGACTTTTATTACCAAGTTTAAATGTTTCAAAAAGAAAATGTTAAAATTTTTGAATATTATTAAACTTTCTAAAATATTTTTTTTTAAATTAATTTGATATCAAAATACTAAAAATCTTTTTAGTATTATAATATTCAATTCTGTAACATTGTATCTTTTTATAACTTCTACAACATGATTTATATAATTAACTGTTGTTTTTTAATATAATTTTTTAATTCAAAATTATCATTATATTGAATTTGGTATATTTAGAAATCATGAAATTTATTTTAATATTCTTCTAATAATTACAAATTATCAAATTTAAATAAAACTAAATTGTTACATTATTTTTATTTTGTTTATTAATATCATTATAAGTAATCTTTTAATATTTTTCATTTTGTTCAATTTTTTAATTTCATCAAAAATTATATTAAAAATATTATTGGAATCTTTTTCTATAATTTCATTTTCATCAAAAATATAATTATTTTTTATTATTTCATTTTGAATATTAAATAAATAAATTTTATATAAACTAAAATAATAACTTTTAATATTAATAATATAATACTGTTACCATTTTGAGCTTTTGCGTATTGTTGTATAATGACCTTTCGTCATAATATTTTATTGGATTATAAATATCTCATATATTATTGGATAAAGATTAT